GCCAAACTGGCTAGGGCAATGTAATTTTTAAAATTTGGGCCCTGGCATATATTTGTTGAATGAATGAGAAACACACAAATCATTAAATCTCTTCGGGGCCTTGGAACTATAATACTGCCTCAGTTTAGACTCATTAGCCCCACAGAAAACCAAGCCATAAGCTCAGGGAAATGATAGGAAAGAAGCCCAGGGGAAGGCAGCTTCCTGCCAATACTTCAGGGCATGGAGAAAACACCAGCTTCCAAGTGAGGTCCACCTTGAGAGCTCCACCTCCCCATTCCGAAGGGCCTGCCTTTCCTGCAGTGAGGAGGCCCTTCTGGAAGAGCCCCTCTCAGACCTCAAACATCTCCAGGAAGCAGGGGCTCCCTGGCTTTTCTTTCCTTAACCTCTTGGCTGTAAACCCCCAGGACCCAGGTTTGGGAAAGGAGCTGGCACTGCAGGTGTGAGCTTAGAGAAGCTGGGGTTCTAGGACCCACTCTGCCACTTTCTAGCAGCAGGATCCTGGGCTGGTCCCGTCCCCGGGAATCTCAATTTCTTCAGCTGTCACATTACAGGAGGGTCTAGAGAAAGTGATCCGAAGCCATCCCTTCCAGCTCTGACTCCCTTTCTCTTAGCTGAGCCCAGGGGCTGTGGGCTGGTTTGTGTTGGCCAACAGCCAGGAGTCCAAATGGGAGCAAGCCGGCCCTGCACAGCCCAGATACAACTGAGTCTCCTCTCTTCCATGCACCTCAGCCCATGCATCCTCTTTGTGGCCACATCAGATACACACGGCACTCTGATCCCTGGGCCTCTGCCCAGGCTGGGGCCTCTGCCCAGAATTCCATCCCACACTCCCCCATGCATCTGGCTGCACATTGTAAAGGTCCCGATCATGTGACCCTCTGTCCCAGGCAGAACCCTGTACGCTCTGAATTAACACCTTGATAGAGCCCCTCCCCCACCCCATCCCCTGGAGGCCGCTGGCACCATCCTTCTCTCCCCTCTCCCAGCTGATGCCCACATGGCTGCTGCTACCCGGCCTTGGGACCCTGGCACTGGGCACACCATAGCCCCTCTCCTCTGGGTTTCAGTTTCCCCATCTGATGTGGTCACGGCTCTTCACGCACCGGGGATGCTGGGGGCGATGGGGGCGCTTAATGACTGTGACCTTGGGCCCCTTATTTAACCACCCTGTGCCACACGATCTCTTCTGCAGAAATGGAGATGGCAATGGGTCCCACCCCTAGGGCCGCCATGGAGGTCAAGGAGCGTGCCTGCGCTCGGCCTGGCACAGCAGTGAGCTCCCAGTAAAGGACCGCAGCGCCGGCTTATTGCGAGCGAAGGTCTCAGGCTCGTGGCCAGTGTCCCCTCGGCCGATGCACGTTCCTCTCGGCGCCACAAAGGAGCCCAAGGCAGAGAAGGACACGTGGGCTGCAATTTTCTGGTGTGTTTTTTTTTTTTTCACACCTCCACTAAAACTGCACTCTCTAAGGCCTCCAATGACTACTTTCTTGGGCAAATCCTATAATTTTCTACCATTTCAGCAAACAGCATTATTGATCTATCTTTCTGCAACTTTTTCTCAGTCCCTGGACCTGGCCCAGCACGCGTGTCGGGGAGGGAGGGGCCACTCTGGGTCCCCAGGTCCCCCTCGGCGTGTCTCCCTCCTCCTCTCCCCCCGCCCCCCGGAGCTGTCCCAGCCTGCACGCCCCGAGGTGTGTGCAAGGCCTCCGGCAGGCCCCATCCTCGGGGACTGGGCAGGCTCTTAAGGCACAGAAGCCCCGGCAAGCGTGTGAGAAGGTGGTCAGGTTCATTCATGATCCGAAACATGCAAGTTCAAACGAGAATGAGGTTTCACTTGCGCCGGTTAGACCGGCAAACATGGGAAAGCTGGATAGTGCCCAACGGTGGGAGTGAGGAGCTGCCCCAGCCACGGCACTGCTGCTGCGAGCAGCCTGGGGCCACCGTTCTCAGAAAATCTGGCAACAGTGAGGGGGATTATGCACAGCGAACGGTGACTCTAAAGTCCAGCTCCTTCTCCTCCTCTTCACCTGTAAGGCCCGCGGCTGGAGGAGGGTCTGCCAGTGGTTCCGCCTGGTGGTTCCTGGTGGCAGCGGGGACCTCTCTCCCAGGTCCCTGAAGAGGTGAGGCCCCAGCAGGGGTGGCAGGTTTCTCCACAAGATGCCCCCACCCCCACCCCCCCAGGCTTTTCATTGTTCTGACTTCATATCTTGAGAAATTAGAGGGTTGTTTTTTTGGTTTTCTTTTGTTGTTTAACAAAGTAGAACCGACTTGTGTTTTGCACTCTGCCCAGTTGATTTCATGCTGCTTTGCTACTTGAGTGGCATTCTCTTGGGATCCCAGGCCCAGCCCCAGCCTGCTGAATCAGAACCTGCATTTATTTATTTTTAATATATTTTTATTAATCTCAGAGAGGAAGGGAGAGGGAGAGAGAGAGAGAGAGATCAGTGAGAGAGAGAGAGAGAGAGAGAGGAGAGAGAGAATCATTGATCAGCTGCCTCCTGCACGCCCCACACTGGGGATGGAGCCTGCATCCCAGGCATGTGCCCTGACCGGGAATTGAGCTGTGACCTCCTGGTTTATCGGTCGACCCTCAACCACTGAGCCACACGGGTTTCAACAAGATCCCTGGTGATTCCTGTTTACATTAAAGTAAGAGGAGCACTGCTCTAGGCTGTCCATCCCAGTCCATTTTTTTACAGGCTTTTATTTCGGTACCTTCCATAAGCAGATCTAGCCTCTCGCACTGTCTTCATTTATTGAGCACCCGCTGCGAAGCAGCCACTGTGTCAGTCCCGTGTCAGTGCATTATCTCATGCACTCTTCCCTCTTCCCCAACACCCACCCTGTGAGGTGAATGCTGTTACAGCCTCTTTTTCTGGGAAAATGGCTGCTCACAGTCACAAGACCTGAGGAGCCTCCGGCCCAAAGTCCCACAGCCAGTAAGTG